TGTGGTGGAAGGACCATTAGATAAGTTCCAAAGCCTAATCCTCAAAGAGGCCTTGAAGCCTTACAATGTCCATCTTCACCTCTTTAGAAGGCTACCCTGAGAATGCCATGTAAGGCTGCCAGACTAGCCTACCAGAGGATGAGAAGCCACACTGAGAAGAACTGAAGTACTTTAATGGAAGCCAGCACCATGTGCAAACATATGAGTGAGGACACCTTGGACCTTCTAACTCAGTCAGTCCTCCATGTGGCTTCAGCTGCACTAGAGAGCCAAGGGAAACCAATAGAGGAACAGTTTAGCCAACCTACAGAATCATGAAAAATAATAAATCTTTCTGTCCCAAGTAATTAAATTTTGGGGTAGTGTTTTAGGCAGCAATACTAAACAAATAAACTTTAAGATAAAAATACTTAATAGTTTTTTGAAGGTGAGAAAGATCTCTTGAGATTTTTCTCTTTTTATCTTTAATTCACCTATTATGGTATCCTGGAAGTCATGCTTACTCCAGTGCTTCATTCCCCTACAATTAAAAAAAGAAATTAATGTATGAAGGTAAAATGGAGAGCCACTAAAGAATTCTGTGTGAAGTTAGTAGTATGTAATAGGCACTTTAGAAAGAGGACTCTGATTACACTGAAGAATGGACCAGAGGGAGGAAAGACTGAAGGCAGGGTGAGCGGAGAGAATACTGCTGGAATGGTCCTAGTAAGATGTTAGAGCCTTAACTATCACTGCTGCTGCTGCTGCTATTATAATGTATTTATGATGTGCCAGGTACTCTAATAAGAACCTTACGTATATTTGCTCATTTAATCCTTAACACAACCCTTTAAAAATTTTTTTATTTTGAAATAATTATAGACTCACAAGAAGTTCCCAAAATATGTGCCAGGAGATCCCATGTACCCTTTGCCCAGTTTCCCCTAATGGTAACATCCTGCATAACTGTAGTAAAGTTGGAAATTGACATTGGTAATTGTTACTGGTAATTGTCACTGGCTAGGAAACTGACACTGGTATAGTCCATACAGGGTTATTTAGATGTCTCCAGTCTCACAAGCACTCATTTCTCTATGCATGTGTGTGTAGTTCTGTACAATTCTGTAACAGATATGGACATGTATAACTACCACACTCAAGATGCAGAACTGTTCTATCATCAAGAGGCCCCACTGCAGTCACCCATTCACCTCTCCCTGACTCCTAACCCCTGGCAAACATTACTCTGATCTTCACCTTTATAATTTGGTATTTCAAGAATGTTATATAGAGAGAATCATATAAAATGTAAGCTTTTGAGAGTGGCTTTTTTCACTTGAGACCCATCCAAGTTGTTGCAGGTATCAAAAGCTCATTCTTTTTATTGCTGCACAGTGTAAATGTGCCACAGTTTAACCATTTACCTCTTGAAGAATATCTGGGTTGTTTCCCGGTTTGGGCTATGAGGAATAAAGCTGCTATGAAAGTTCACATACAGGTTTTTGTGTGAATGTAAGTTTCAATTATCTGGAATAAATGTTTGAGTCCAGTTGCTGGGTATATGGGAAATCTGCTGTGAACTGAAAATTGCTCTAAAAAAAAGTCTAGTTAAAAAAAATTAAGCCCTAGTACAAAAGAATATGTAAAAAGCATAGGTTTCACTTTCCACTCAGCATCCAATCTCCTCTACTCTTTTTTCAAAAAAATACATGGGGAAGGAACTTAAAGAGTTAAACTGACAAACCTTAGTAGCTAACAAAAGTCTATATTAATTAAGAATCAAGCACCATCAAGAGTACAGGGTTATTTCAATTATACCTCAATTAAAAAAAAAAGTCAAGGATCCATAATGATAAAGGTGATTAGATAAATTTGATTCTAACATTTTTTTATTCTAACTTCTTTATTCTAACTGTTCAGTATTTTATAATAGAACAAAATAACTATTTTGTAACCGATACTTTTCCATTTAACAATTTAAGTGCCACTTGCCATATTTTATGACTATACTTTTACAGTCATATTTCAAACTTAGAACTATAATCCTATAAATAATCAAAGTCAGACCTTTTATTACATAATCGAGTTTTTAACCCCTTTCTCCAAAGTTAAAATCTACTGATTTACTTTTCTTGTACTTGTTTTCATGGCAGACTGGTATCCAAACAGAAAGTCTAGAATTCATAAAGATGAACCAAGAATTTCTAAACAGAATCTGTGTCAAAGTCAACACATTCACAATTCCAAGTTTTAATACATATTATTTGTTTACAAAAAGATAAATGTATATCTTTATCATATCACAGCAATTGCAAAAACAAAACCCTTTAATGAAGAAAAGTTTCAATTCTTATTTTCCAATCCCAGTTTAATTTAAAACTAGATAGCTTTCAGAGACATTAAGAGAGTAAGGTATGAGTGTAAAGCACAGGTATGAATCATGACAGAAATTAACTTGGTTTATGGAAAGCAGGTAGTGCCAAGTAAAAACTAATCTAAATCAAAACACTGGGTGCAATGTTTATATCTGGCAACTTTAGCTCCTGGCTAGAAAATCTACCCCAGCTATGATATTAAATAGTGAAAATTTATTGAGCTACAAAAATATTGACAGATTTCAAAGCCCTGTTTCTGTTCTGGGACATACCTCAGTATGAGAGCCTTGAATTAGATCACTGATTCTCAAGTGGAAGCCCACAGTGAGCCATATCATCTAGGAGATTTTTTTTCCCTTCAAAACAGAGCTACCTCCCTTCATATTCCCCCTTCCATAAGATTCTGCAAGGAAGTGGAGAGGATATAATGGATATGTATGTGTGTCTTTTTTTTTTTCCCAACTCCTAGAGTATTCTCATACATTTGTAACTCTCCACTTTCATGGAGAAATCCTGAATTAGGTCCAACTCTATTTTTTAACGTTCTATCAACAGCAGGCAAAATGAGCAGAGCTACAAAGTGACAAGAGCACAGCAGAAAGCTCTGCAGGTAAGGGGGTTGTACTAACACCAGCTGAAAGTCACCTTTAGAGCTTTCTGTGCCAGCTCCCTCCAGAATCCATTATATTACATTTTAGACAATGACAAATGTTCAGTTCATCATCCTGGAAAAGCACATAGTCTACTAGCCAGATAAAAATGTAAAAAGAAGCTATTTTGGATATCAAAAAAACTAAGAAGCCACAGGAAAAAAAAAGACAAAAATGCCTCTGTTCTTGCATAAACGAACAATAACAAAGTAATACTCTGTGCATCTGATAACTTACTTGGAGACTTTCTGCTCATATTTTATCATTTTAGTTTTTCATTATGTAGCACTGATTTTTCTATTATAAAACTCAGTCAAGCTGAAAATCTTAATCATTCTAGAACTTAATAAACCTAAGATACTAAAGCTGTATTAAAAACAATCAAACAATCCCAAATCCATACAGCATATTGAGACAGCTTAAGAGTTTATTAAAAAAACAAGATTTCAAAGTCCATTTTAGAGCAATTATATTTCCTTACAGGTATTGTTTCAAATTCCTTATAAACACTCCAGTACTGAAATATGTCAGAAAAGAGGATTTCTAATGATATATAAATTATCAGTCAGTTATTACAATATTCTAATTAGGACTAGTGTTCTTAAACCACTTGGTAATTTCCTACCCAATGTTCAACTTTATTGCATTCTACAATGACACCTACTGGCCATTCAAAATCAGCCATTAGTTTTCTAAGACAGCGCTAGTAGGCTGGTTACATAACAAGAAGAAACATAGATATACACACATAGACACACACACACACACACTCCTGCATAAAAGCAGAGATTTGTTCACAGATACTCACACTATAGAAATGCACCTAAAATAGAAGCAGAACTATTCTTTGTGACTGAGATAGTACTATTTTTGCCAACAGTTAAAAAGACAAAGAATGAAACATCAAGTATCACAATTTTTATCTGAAACACTGCCAAATATTCGGTACTCTGAACATTTCAATACAAACTCACCTCTCTTTACCAAGTGACACTTAGAAAAAAATTTTTTTAATTTAGTTTCTAGGATGTACTAATATAAGTTATCAATAATAGGGGGAAAAACTACATCGTAGAAAGTTTTTCTAACGTGCAGAATAAGCTCAGTAAAATCATATACTTGCTAATACAATTGCTCATCTTAATTTGGGGTAAATCAATTAAGGAATACTTCTATCACTGAACCCACCACAGAATAATCTGTTTGATAAATTCTTAATGACTACCTATGTTTTCTTGACAATCCTGTGTTTCTTTATAACGATTATACACAAAAATATTTTTAACCAATTAAACTGGACTTACTCTCTGGAAAAAAAATTAGCTTTTATTTTCCAAGCTAAAGGCAACATTTCAATCGGCTTATGTTTTAGCAATTTATAATGCTTCTTTTAAAACTGCTTTCCTACGAACTATAAAATCAAGTTTTTAATGTAGTTAAACATTCCATTACACATACTGAATGGAATTCCTATTTAAATTCCACATTTCATTGGGCAAATAATGAAGTATAATAACTTAGGGAAAAATGATAATTTACAGTTAATTCTCTCTGTAAATACATTTTACTTGGTCGGAGAGATTCAGAGAACATATTTTTTAAACCTAAGAAATAAGCAACTCATAACTAGTTTCTCAGACTTACAGAGCAAATTACTCAAAAGATGACTTTCTGCCCCAATCAGACCACCACCTTATGTTCAGTCTCTAACATACACAATATCTAGCGAGAAAAAAAATCTACCAACTAATTTTCGAGTCATTTTCCATTTTCCAACTTGCACTTACCTCCTAGTATAGATTGTTGAGGCACTCCACTGTCCTGAAGATTTAAAAAAAACTGTAATCAGCCTTGACCCTCAAAACAAATAAATTCACAAACTACAAAACGTGAACCCGGCCACGCTCATCTCTAACACATCTCTCAACCCAAGTCCATATTTGGGATAAGCTCTTCGTGACTACTCTATCCTTCATGCTCCTTCGCCCACAGAGCCTGCCGAGGTAGAAAAACAGTCAAACTAACCAAACTCTTCTGACACATCAATAGGTTTCAAGACCTTCTCTTCCAGGGACAACCTAGTTGTTTGGGTAAATAACAGCCAAGGATTACATAATGTATAGCTATGAAGAGTTTCTAGCATCTGGCCGCCAGTAAATATCTTTCTTCTCCGCTCCCTCCGTTCCCACCCCCAGAAATGGCCCTAAGAAGAAGCAAACCCGAGGATTCCTGCAATGCCGCGTCTCCTTCTATCTCGGAGCTTGATGCAAGGAATTCCTCCAGCCCTCACGACACCGTTTGCTCCCGCCTCTCTCTGTTCTCTGCCGGCGCCACCGCAGCCCCCATTCCCGAGGCCCCCACGTCTCTCCGCAGGACTCAGCCTCCACCCGCCGCGGCTGCTTCTCCTCACGACCCTCCCAAGCTGCTACCTGGTCGCCAGACGTTCGGAACCATGAACACTCTGGCTGCCGCCTTCCTAGACCACCCTGGGCAGATGCCTTCTCTAGTTCTGGCAGCCGGAGAAGAAGAAAATCCCTCCTATCTGCCACTCCGCGTCCCCCAAAGCCAGCGCCGCCGCCTACCTGTCAGCCCGCTGCCTCCGGCTCCTTACCGCCACCGCCTCCCGCAGCAGCCTGCCAACTGCAGCGCAACAACCCGTCCTCCCGTTGGGTGAGTCCACGCTCCAACAACAGCCCCGCTTATTGGCGGCAAGCTGCCCGCGGCCCGCCCCCTGTGCAGTATCTAAAGATAACCGTCTCCGAGCAAGGGCAACGTGGCTTCTTCCCCGCCCTTCTGCCCTCAGTTTCTCTTACCGCGGTCAGACTCCGGATGCACAGATGTGCGGGGGGAATGTCCACTTCCAGCCTCCTTCATGTCATCTCCACCTGGTCCAGGAAGCTGTGACCCAGGACCAGAATGCTAAATTTCTCCTCTGCTTTCCTGCCGTAAGGTCCTCAAGGTGACAACTTCCGTTTCCGGTTGCCTCAGGCTGGAGGGTTGAATTGCGAGTGTCCTGAGAGGTCAGATTGCTGTCAGGTAAACTGGGGAGCTGGTGGGAGATCTCTTGATCGGGAATAAGAATGAGACTCTATTCCGAGATTGTAGAAAGGGAGAGACTAAATGGAGAAGGACGATGAGAGTGTGTAGCTCAAGAGGGAAGGAGATCGAAGAACTAGCAGGAGAGAACTGTGAAATCCTGGAGTAGTGAGGGGTGGTTGTAGCAGGATGCAGTGAGAATCTCTGTGGTGGTCAAGTCCAGATGTTTTTCTTCCTCTTCTGCCACCCGCAATATCCCCTGCTCTGTCATTTTTTGGTTTACTTTTGAGTAAAATGAAGGCACAACTGCCCTCAAATCAAGAATTTGTAAAATAGGAATAATTGTAATGCCTGCCTCATAAGTATGTATAGTTTTAATTAAGATTTTTCTGGTATGAATGTTTATGACACAATGTTAAAGTGAAAAAAAGGGTACAAAATCAAATAATTTTTAAAGTGATTACTATTTTTAAATTGCATATAGCAGATGCAGGGACTAGAAAGGACACTGAAGGTGAAAACAGTTTGTCTTTTATTTATTTTTCTTTTAATTCTATTTATTTTACTTTTATATGGTATTCACAATTTTTAAAATGAAGGTAAGTTGGGATATATATTTCAAAATCTTTGGTAGACCGTGAAATCACATATAATATCTGTGGCATTACCCTTTCATATCCTTCTTAGGGAATGTATGTACTAGAGCCAGCCCCCTTTAGTGGAGGTTGATCTCCACCAAACTTAAAGGTTCACTCCAAATGTAGGTAGGTTAAAAAAAAAAAAAATTCATCACTACATGTTCTTTCCTTGTTGAATTAATTTGCTTGCTGTTTTTGTTTGAACAGCTCTGAAACTGAAATAATCACCTGTTGTTGAGTCCTTGGCACAATTTAAGCCACTTTATGTAATTTAGGTTTTATTGTGACACATATATATAAAACAGAAAGCTGTATAAAACATAAGTATTTTTTAAGAATTGTAAATAAGTAAACACTTGATAACCATCCCTCAGGTTAGGAAATAAAGCATTGCCAAACACCTAACAAGCATTCTCAACTGAGGTGATTGCCCTTTGAGGAGGTAAAAATTAATTCTTGTTGGGTGGAGGTGAGAGGGCAAAAAAGAAAAACCTTGCAATTGTTTGTGGCCCTCCAAAGAGCCACAGTGCATTAATTGATATACACTGTATCTGTGGTGTGGGGAGGACAGGATGAGAATCTGATTAGGGTAAAAAAATGTAAAAATTAGGAGTACAATAATTACAATACATTGAAAAACACTGCCTTAGAAGCTCCCTGTATGAGTTTCTGTAATTCCATCTCCTCCACTGTCCTAACTTGTAATAATCATTTACTTGTTTCACTTAAATTTCTTCTTCTATGTTGCATTCCTATAAAATGAATTGTTAGATTTTTCCTTTTATATAAATGGGATTCAAAGTATGCATATATTTTTCTGACTCACCCCTTGCTCATTATTATATTTGTGAGATTCAGTCATACTTTTGCATGTAATTTTGCATTGTGTAATGTTCCATAGTTAATCCATTCTATCACTGTTGGACATTTGGGTTGTTTACAGTTTGAGGCTAGCATAAATAATGTGGTTAAAAAGATTCTTATAAAGTATATCTATTATACAGATTCAAGAGTTTCTCTAGAGCAATACTGTCCAATGGAAATATAATGAAAGCCACATGTATAATTTGAAATTTTCTAATAGCCATATTGAAAATGTAAAAAGAAATAAAATTTTAATAATGTGTTTAATCTAACCTAGTATGTATAGTCAAAATATTATTTTGAGGTGAAATCAGTATTAAAAGTTAATGAAATATTTTAATTTTCTTCATGCTGTCTTCAAAACTGATGTGTTTTACACTTGGAGAATATGCTATTTTTGTAAATATAAACCCTCGATCTGCACTTATATTTCATAAAATTTACAGTTGATTAAGTAGATTTGTACACCCTATTGGTTCCAAACACACTTTAAAATTATCCAATAACTAGTTTCAAAATCTGTTTTGAAATTTAAATTAATTAAAATTAAATGAAAATTCTTAGTTGCCCAGTTGCACAGGTCACATTGCAGGTGCTAGTGGCTACCATATTTGACAGTACAGATCTAGAGTATATATTTATACAGTATCTTCGACTGGACTTGGTAGGCCATAAAATATTCTAATGTTCAACTTTTCTAGTTCATGCCAAACAGTTTTTTAAAGTGGTTGTGCTAAATCACATTCTCACCACCTGGGTGTGAAAGTGGAAAGCACATCATCACAATGTGTTTTCCCCAGTTTTCACAGTCTTGCAAGGTAGTTTTTAACCTCATGTTGTTATAGAGAGAAACTGAAGTTTAGAGAGATTAAAATGATTTGCCCAGAATTTTGTAGCTCTTAATGGTGCATCCAGGGTTTGATGCCAGATATGTACAGCACCAAAGTTTGCACTTAAGTACAAGTAGAATTCCAAACTCTTCCTTCAAGTGACTGAGATATCATTGTTTGATTTATGGCTATTCTGAAGTAGTAATAATTTTTAAAAGAAAATGAAAATTCCCTAAAAATAGTGTTGTTCAACTTTTTGTTGTTTTTTGAAAAGTCATTGAAATGTTATATTCAGTAAATGCTTATAAAGGAACCCTTTCTGAAATATTTTAATTAGATAGAAGAGAAAATACATTGAATGTATTAAAGAAATTTTTTAGAAGAAATGAATGTATGTATACTTTAATGGTTTCTTTCAAAGATTTATCATCCAAATTACTTAATATTTTGAGCATAGTAATTTGTAACTTTGAGATAACCATCATACCATCATAATATTTCAGCTTTTATTTTCAAAATCAAACTATTTTATGAAAAAATTTTGACCTTTGTTTTGTATTCTCTTCCAAATACATTGATGCTTAAGTAGGTGTAATATTCTAGAATTGACGTTTGCCAAAATAAGGATTTGTCTTGTAATCTAGACATTTTTGGAATGAAACATTATTTTAAAAAAATGTTTTTAAAACATAGTTTGAAGAAGTCAAGACTTTATCATTATAATTAATCCTTCTAAAAGTCTTTTTTTTTGTAATAACGTATAGACTCCCAAAAGTCAGACTGAACTCTGAAACTATAATTAGTTTATATTATTGAATCCACCAAATATTAATAAAATAATATATTAAATGTTTCATTCAAAGTTGTGAATGTTGTAGTTTTAACTGTGTTTGCTGGGTGTTGGGCTTTTTTTTTTTTATTGAAGTACAGTCAATGATAATTGTGTCGATTTCTGGTGTAGAGCACAATGTCCCAGTCTTGCATATACATACATATATTTGTTTTCATATTTTTTCCATTAAAGATTATTACAATATATTGAGCATAGTTCCCTGTGCTTGACAAAAGAAACTGGTTTTTATTCTCTTTCAAATGTGAAAATTATCAACATAATGTTTTGTAATATCTTAACATGTCTGTAAATATAAAGTGTTGGCTAATTTGTCAAAATTCCTGTGTACAGATTTCCCCCCATATTCTGGGAGCTATTGTTTAATGAAACAAGCATTTCACATAGTATGTCTTT